ATCGTCCAGTCCCAGTTGCCATCGGTGAAGTTCGTATTTCCGATAGGAGTTCCACAAGCGGTACAGGCATGAGGTGAGGGCGATAGGTCTCTCAATCCTCTCGTTCTTTGGAATCATGACAATGTTGGTGTGGCGGAGCTGAAGAGGAAGCTCCGCCTCTTGTTCCATCTCTCGAAGAAGTTGAGAGAGCTTCTCCACAGCAGGGTATGGCAGATGACGAAGAAAGTCATAAGAGACTCCGTCCGGCCCAGCCGCCTTGTTGGGAAGCTTGCGCATGATTTTCTGCAAGAGGCTGGAGTCTATGCTCTTCCATTGGAGAGCTTGGGCCTGCGCTTGCCTTCGTAGCTCTTGAATGCCTCTCACCGGCAAGGGACCTTCGAGAGGGATCCAGATGGATCCCCATTGCTGCTCCCTAGCTTCTGTCCTTTGAGTGGAAGGCAAGGACTGGAAGGGTCGCTGCCAGGCATGGTCTTTCTGCCTCAGACTTCGGAAAAGACCTCGAAGTCCTTTGTCATGAGCCTTCTCCAGCCATTCTCGAAACTCGTGATTGGTGGCACTCATCATCTGCGCTTGGGCCAAATCTTGTTCATGTTGGATGATCTGCTGCAGTTGTTCTGGAAGATGAAGTCCTCCAAAGATCCATTGGAGGAGTTGCTCTTCAAAGTGTGGTTGATCCAGTTCTTTGGAGGCGCGTTGTGGGATTCGTTGGAGCATGTCCTTCAAGTCTTGGAGAATGCCCGGATACCGGCCATGTGCGGCTAGGTTGAGGCGAGCTCCAAACTTCTCCCAAAAGGCGGCGCTTCCCTTTTTCCAAACGCGAGGTTTGGTGGAGCTGGCCAGAGGAGCTTGAAGGAGGGAGATCCGAGAGCCTCGTCCTGTGATCGGTTGGTGAAGTCCTTGTGTGAGGTACTTCTCCGTCTGAGTGGCCCACCTTGCCAGATCTGAGCCAAGACCAGTGATGGTTTGCCCTAAGATCTCAAAGGGTCCATCATCCTCAGTGAAGGATGACCAGTGCAAATGGCTGAAGTAGCAGGCAATGTTCAGTGCCAGTGCCACCCCTGCTCTGACTGTTTCACACTGAAAACAAATCTGCTTCCAAGCAAAGTTCAAAGGCCCAGCCCCCAGTGACATGTCATGATAGGAGAAGATGTTTCCATACAACCAACTATTAGCTTACCATTTGAGAGCACAAGTTGTAGTCTGTTTTACAATTTTTTGTAATGATTGTGCTGCGGATTGTAGATGCGAGAGATCGGAGGAAACCTCTGCAGCTGCTGCACAGGGAGAGCAGCATGAGTGCAATCCAGTTGGAGGGCCAGAGCACAATGTGGCTTCCAAGGTACTTCCCAGTTCGCTTCAAGCCTCAAAGCCCCAGCAATGGCGGTGGAGGCAAGAAGGAAATCAAGGTGGCTGCCCTGTAGGGTGGTCGGACCTGGCGTGGCCACAATCTGGGCCCGAAATTTGCTAGGGATGTTGGTGGCCGCCAAATCCTCCGGTGAAGCTTGCCAGTCCCCACCAACAATGAAGGGAGCCCTCAAGTGATCGAGGAATTGGAGCAGCTGGCCGAGGAGTTCAGCATTGAGAGGCGATTGCAGAGTTTCACCGGTGCGAAGGTAGAGCTGGATGAGGTAGATCTGGATACCCTCTCTCTGCATGGCCAAGGCCGTCCACCCATTGCCTTGCTTGACGTAGGTGTGGACGTGATGAATGAGGTGTCTGGCAGCATGAATGGTGAGGAAGCCTCCTGTGGATCCGCCATTGCCAGTGGGTTCAGCTGCAACCCCATGCACCTTCCACCCTCTGCATCAAAAATATTTGAGAAATATTGAAGCGCAGTGTCAAGGGCTTTCTGTTGGAGGTGAGTTTCCTGGAACATCATGATGGTGTCTCCTTGCCCCCAAGCCCAGTCTTGAACCTTCTTGCCGAAGAAAGTGACGTTGCTGATGGAGATGGATATGGTCTCCTGTGAGGTTCGAGCTCGTTTGGGTTGCTCTGCTGTCATCTCTATGGCCGTGTCGGTGAATACTTCGTCAGTAGGAGAGGCCACCAGCCATATTTGGGAGATTTCCTTGGCCTGTTGAGTGGACAGGTGAGGCAATGGTGTCGGAAAGCTGTTGTCATCCGCTAGCCAGTAGACATTGTCCATAGCCAAAATGGCTTGATAGTGTCCATTCTCATGAGTGGCTCCTTGGTGCAAGACCAGTGCGATGACCTGATAGGCCGCATAGTGCACATTGACCCCATCCTCGGAGGAAGGGACGTTGACCCTGGTGGGAAGGTCCAGCTCACGATGGTGTTTGGTCCATGTTCCCTCCTGCAAGGTGGATCTTTGGAGGTTGATGACCAAACCTCCTGGGGATCCGTACAGGAATTGTCCATTGCCCTCATCAGCCCAGAGATTGACAAGTTGATCCAAAGTGATGGGACCTGATCTGTCTGGGAAAATCATGTTGAGAGGGAATTGATCACGCTCCTCAGTGTGACCTCTTTCGCTTCGGTGGAAGAAGCGCCCAGCGAAGAAGGTGCTGCCTGAGTACGTCCACAAAGCGTGAAGGAAATCGACAGCGTCAGCTTGCTCTTCGTGATTGACCTGGGGCCAAATGTGGACCATGTTGTGCAATCCCGCCAGCTTCTGAGGGTCGGTGTCGGACAAGAACTGACGAGCAGCTGATTGAGTTCGGCCCCATGCCTGTGTAGGGTCCTCAGCATAAGCTCCAGCCCAGCACCAACAGCGCCATGGAGCATTGGCATAGCACATGTTTCGGTTGTTCTGCAGGATGCTGGTCAAGCACTGCGAAACAATGTAGATGTTTGCAACTGAGTGCTCCAATTCCCCTGGAACACGGTGATGCAGTTGCACAAGATTCTGCATGCGTCGGAGGTCCACGAGGAACTGTTGACCTCGTTGGAGAGTTGGGTTGCGACCATAATTTTGACACGAAGTAAGCATGTCTTTGGTGCATGAATCAAAAAGAGCTCGCTGCTCAAAAGTCAGAAAGTCATCATCGACTTCCATGTTGAGGATTTTGGCCAAGGACAGAATCGCTGAGGTCCCGTAGGAAACCGACCCACCAGGGGTCTGTTCTGAGGTAGAAGAACACGGTGCCTCAGGAGTCTGTCTGGCCAGAGGCGCTGCCCTGTGCAGCGCTCCCCCCAGCACCTTGATGGAAGTCAAGGTGCGCCGATACGGCCCATAGCCCGAAAAGGTGGAGCGGCCCGAGCTTGAGCCTGAAATCAAAGAAGCATCAACCAAAGGTGCAATTCCCCTGCAAGTTGGTTGAGAAAGTCCCAAGTCATGAGTCAAAGGCCATGACTGTAGTTCCCCTTGAGAAAGTGAAAAGGAGGGGCGCAAGCTGTCAAAGGGGCTACCCACAAGATCCTTGATTGCCCGCTTCCGTCTTGCGTCGTTTCGACTCTTCATCCATGCTCTCATCTTCTGAAGAAGGACGTTTGAGCATCGAGTGGAGTTGCTCCTTTTGCTCCGGCGTCAGGTTGACTCCAAGGGTATGAATGAAACCAGCTACTGCCTCTGGTACTGAGTCTTTGACCTCGGTATCCAGTGGCTGCAAGGGCTTGTCCCCTTGTGTGGAGCTGACCTTGGTGAGATACGCCGTGCTGATGGTATTCAGAGAAGATTGTTCTTGCTCTAGCCTGGTTTGAAGTGTCTTCATCTCTTCAAGAAGATCTTGATAGTGCTTCTTGGTGTTGTCGATCTTGAGCTGCAACTGTTGCTTCTTTTGAGAGATGTCCCGGAGAGTAGTCACCTGCTGTTTGAGTCGAGCTGCCATGTCCTTTTCAGTCTCCGGTTGCGGCTTGGTGATGCGTTCAACAAGTTCCTTGACCGGAGCTGGTAGACTGGCTAGATTTTCCTTGAGGACATCTGTCAAATCGGGCTCATTGGTCTTGGGAGCCGGGTTGATGCCAAGTTCAACGAGCTTGGTTCGCATGTTTTCGTCCATGGTGCTCCAGGCAGGTGCCAAGATTTCTGAAGCCGTTTTCTGCAGCTTGGTAGGGCGTGGAGTCCTGCTGACAGGGATGCCGGGTGGTGGTGAAACTCGCCTCCGTGGTTGCTGCCAATGTGTCACCTTGCGCTCAGCTGGCTTTGCATAGCCCTGTGAAGGTCTCGTCCAAGGTGTAGAGCACTTGCGACATGTGTAGTTGGGCTGAATCTTGTCCTCCCAAATCCAATTAGAGCAGCCTGAGGAGCTGCAGCATTGATATGCTCTGCAATGCCAGCCCATGAGAACGTGCCGGGTCACCGTGCTCAGAGACAAGGGCGATGTGCAGGAGGACGCGTGGGAAGAGTGTAGCCCCAGTGCCGTCGTCGGTCAAAGGGCCCTGTGCCCAGGCTTGAGCAGACTTGAGCCAATATACTTGAGCCAAAATGGCTTGAGCCAGGTCTCTCGAAAGCGTATATATACACATATATACACACACACACATCCGAGTGGGGAAACCTTTCAAGGCAAAGGTCCATTGAAGTGCGTTGGTCGACGCCAGCAATGCATTGCTATCCAATCACGTCGACATGGCCAGCTCGAAGGCCGCATGGGCACGCGATGTCCATGTGCCAAACATCCACACACATCCCATTCAGCGCATTCGGCCTCGACCGACATTCGGCTCAGGGCTCAGGTCCGATGCAAGCCACGATGGAAATGTGATTTGCGTGGAAGTGATATGAAGTGACGCGGTGATTCACCATGATTCACCATCCTTTGCGAAACAGGAGATCTTTTGCTGATGTTTTTTGAGGGGTGCAAAACCCTCCTTGAAGCCAACTGCACGACATGGGAGGGCAACAATTGGCTCGCAACGGTTCAACGCCTTATGAAAGTTCACTGTTTATATCCCTGATGGCAGACAACATCAGACTGGCGCCAAGAGAAGGGGATGCTTGCAATTCAAGAAGAATGCCTTGGTGTAGGACGCTGGGAAATTCATAATTGTTTGATGTGTAATGCTGCTTGCAGCACCTCTTCGTCAGTGGCCCGGTTGGGATGTGGAGCACTCCAAATTATATCCATGGCGTTGCGCCTGCGGTGCCTGTCGCGCAAGGATGTCCGGCAGGAGGGGTTTGCTTCAATCAGACTAATTATCCAGGACAAATAGAAAGGCACTCACCAGGAAGATGCATTTGCACGTTTTGGTTTTTCAGAAGCATAAGTTACCCCCGAGATCCCCAGAGTGAGCATTTTGCTGTTCAAGTTAGACAAGATTTTTTCAATTGTTTGCACAGAGAGGCAAGATGTAATTCCACAATCCTTCAGCCATGCCTTTAAGACGAAATGTGCCAACATAAGACTCTTTTTGTGAGTAGGAATTCACATGAATTTCCAAAGGGAAGCATCACTTTGATAATACGATAAACCGCACATACATGAACAATGACACAACAAACAAATCAAAAACATTCAAAAACAATCAAAAAGTTAGACCCAAAAGAACAACACAGTTACATTAAAGAATGACTTGAACCTCAACAAAAACAAAGAACAACTCAAATTCGTCCAAACTCGGTTTTCCAAGTGGAGCCCCACTTTCTTGGCGCATGATTTGGCGACGCAGGACATTTGCTGACACTCCGGTGGACGACAGAGGTCCGGCTGGTTCGTTCTGATGAGTGATGACTCCGGTGGCCCATGGTTGAGGGATGTTGAGTGCGCCAGACCAGGTCAAGTTGTTGCCATGCTAGGTTCCAATCTGAATCCACAGACATGTCCCTTGGATTTTATGAACGAAGGGTTTTGATCAGGTGGAATTCTGAACCTGTTCTGCGACAACACCCGAACAAGCCACCATTGGGGGTCCAGCGCCAGTTGTAAAAGGCGATTACTATTGCTCCACCAGCGGAAGTAATCTACATGAATTTACCAAGGAAACTGTTCTCATCAAAAACGCAGATGCCTCTTCCTTCCAAACGGTGGGCGGCTGAACCGAGCCGCCCCTTAAGCCCAACCAACCACAGACGCACCGCAGGTGGGCTTTTGCGGTGCGTGTGGTGGGCCATGCATGCCGGGCCGGCTCATCAAGACCTGTGAGGGCCCCCAGTGGAGCCCTCCCCAGAAGACGCGATCGCCGAAGCCGAGGATGAGAGTCCGACATCATGTAGACTCTTGATTCATACCCCCCCACATATGAAGGTTCTGAAGGTTTTACAATTCTAATTTGGGGGTGTTATGAATCAAAAATCCGACCGACGGGGGAACCCGAGCAGATGCGACCGGACTTCAGCGGACGACATGGGCGACGAAGCAAAGTGTTCAGCTGGACAGGTGTAGGTGACGAGGTGAGGTGATTTGCCAGGTTTGACCATAGACCAGCCTGCAGTTCCGAGGTGATCCAGAGTTGAACTTGAACCTCCTTGGTGCTAGTATGTGCTAGTATAGAAACTCTTGCAAAAGCATCCAAAAGCACTGATTCCTGAGTTTGCTTGGTGGTTCCTTTAGTTTACATTGAACTAAACTTGACATTTGAGCGTCATTTGCAAGGATCCTTCAAGTGCACCCAAGGATATCCAAGCCCGTTGTTGTTGGCAGCCGAGCGCATTTGATGTCGTATTGCTGCCTGCCGCGGCATTTTCAGGTGACGTTTGCAGATACAACGTGTGCGAGGCTTGCACATTGAAAGCGACGAGCTCCCCGACCCTGCTGGAGGCCGACCGGGAAGAAAGCAAAGCAATGTGATGATTTCGAATCCCAGCACCTTTGGTCGCCGCTTTGTGGACCAATCATTGAATTGAGGGGAGCAACGGAAGCAATCTTGGCCTTCTTTAGCCCAAATCCGTCACACCAAAGTAGTCTAAACTTTTCCCAAGACCATAAGATCCACCCTTACCAGGCACAGCCTGGCCCAGCGTGGGCCCGGGCGCCGGCGCCTCTCAGGCAGCCGATCTTGATCTCCTGGTGGTTCCACGGGTTCGACTTGGTGAAAGTGTGTCCTTGCAAGTGAGACTAGTCTCTTTACTACTTGTCACCTGGCGCTCGCGCCACTTGGTGTATGTCCATCACTGGTGTCCACTCAAGTCGTTTCTGCAAGAATGTCTGATGTTTTCCAGGCGAAACCACTGCAAGAGTGGACGAGCTGGACTGGGAACAAGTCCAATGATGAATCATGACAGTTGGATTTCAAGTGGTATCCCGAGTCCCTTCATGTCCCTTGTACGCATGTTGTGTCAATTTTCGCATAGTCAAGAGCGGGACTGACATTTCAACAAATGTTGAAAGTTCAGGAATGCTGAGGGGATATGCAACAGAATATGATTTGAATTGTTCAACAGGACACACACATTTGTGTGTTTCTTTTGGGAGTGTACTCGAAAGAAATACATTCAATTACATTGTCTCCACATGTTCATTGCCAAGAAAGCATGTCATGCATGTGTTTACCTTGGCCGATAATATGATCATACGGGGTATCCACCGTCTGCTTGCATACATGTTCTTGAGAAACGGCATGCTTCCTGGGGGCCTCCCTTAGCCTTGCCTTCATAACATTTTGGGGGGAAGTCGCGCTTAATGGCAATGACAGGTGGTGCACAGGATTTTGTCATTCTTTCTTTTCAATCCCATGGCATCATACACTTGGGAGTAACGTTGGAGTTTCCGAGAGCACCGAGGCATCTTAGATTCCATTCCAGCAATACATAGTAGCAATCAGGCAGCTAGTCCTCCTCACAAACTTGGCTGGTGGCACGATGATATGATGTCACACAAATCCCCCACGCCCCCTGCACACATTTTGGTGAAAGAAGGTACACTTCGTTCAAGGGTTCCACCTTGCTTTCATACACGTGTTCAAGTACTCATGTTGCTTTCATGGCCTTCCCAAGTCGAGGTTTTGGGTTTTGTTTTCAGTCCCCGCATGAAAAGACGAGCGGCGACGGTGAAAAACCGCGCAAAGCCGGTCGAAACGGTTCTGCGAGGCCAGCGGCGAAAGTGCCCAACGGCCTCTCCTCCATGCCGGTTCCCGTGGCTCGCACGTGCGCGCACGCGGCACACGCGCGCAGCGGGAGCCTCACAGGAGCGGATGGGTGTGGGGTAAGGCCAAAGACCGGGCCGGGCAGATTGATCCCCGCCCCCTCTGGCAGTAGGTTGTAGGCCATCACTATGAGGTTGGAGGCCATCGCTTTTAGGTTGGAGATTATCGCTATTAGGTTGGAAACCATCGCTATCAGGTTGTAGGCCATCACTATTAATTAGGTTGGAGGCCATCGCTCTTAGGTTGTAGGCCATCACTTTTAGGTTGGAGGCCACCGCTATCAGGTTGTAGGCCATCACTATTAGGTTGGAGGCCATCGCTCTTAGGTTGTAGGCCATCGCTTTTAGGTTGGAGGCCATCGCTATTACGTTGGAGGCCATCGCTAT